ACGATATCTGTAATACCATCAAACATACACATCTGCCTATCCCAGGTCCTTGGGAAGGATTCAATAGGTAGACAAAATGCCAAATCCAGTCTGAACATCTGGCTGATTGTGCGATGATCCATAATAATAATAATAATAATAATAATAATAATAATAATAATAATAATAATAATAATAATAATAATAATAATAATAATAAAGTTGGAAGGGACCTTGGATGTCATCTAGTCCAACCCTCTGCTCAGGCAGGAAACCCTATACCATTTCAGACAAATGGCTTGTCCAGTCTCTTCTTAAAAACTTCCAGTTGTACGACAGAACTTCCCAATCCATCAAGGTAGTTTTTAAATCACTCAGAAGCAATGGATAAAGGAAGCTTCAGCCTTCACAAACTCATGTTGTTTTCTTTTTTTCTCAATTAGCTTTTTCCGACTTTTTCCCAGGTACCAAAACCAGACTAAGACCTCACCCACTGCACCTCTTCCTGCTCCTGCTCCTCTTCCTCCTGCTCCTCTTCCCGTTACTCCTTCTGTAACCCATCAAGAAGCCATTCAACCACAACCTTTCCCGAAATATGCTGTCTCAGTTCCTGTGTACCAGGTAAGAAAAATACCTGATCAGGGGGACAAAAATGCTGCTAGCTTTGTGTAGCTGTGATGCTGTCATCCAAGGTGCTACCTTCTGAATGACATCCAGTCATTTGAGAATGGATTACAAGATTCAGAATTCCAAACCAGCACATTCCATCGATGGTTTTGACCACAAATTCTGGGATGGTACTTGGAGAGTATCCCACTAAGGAAGCCAATTGTAGGCTAACATACATAGAAGACACCGTGTTATAGAAGCAGCTGTTCTATAGACTAGGGTTAATTTGCATTTTTTTTCCTTAATCTTTGGTTTTCAGTCGAAGCAGTAACACAATTTTATTTTCATCCGGGTATGGAAAATGGGAGACCGTAAATCAAAATAAGGTACCTGGATCAAAAAAAATTATTTAAGTGGGGATAAGAATACAATTTATTATGAAAGGAAAGCTGGTTATTAGATATACAATTCTACTTTATTCAGAAGGGTTAGAGAAGCAATTCCAGACCCTTTGCATTTTTATCTTACTAAAGACTAGGAACTCACAGCTGACACAGCTTTACGTCACCCTTAACTGCTCCAGTTATGAAGTAGCATTCTACTGTATCTCTTCTCCAACTGTGTCTTTGCCATATGGTCCAGCACATTTTATGACATCCTTCTGACATCCAGAGGAGAATCTTGGAGAATGTACTTTTTTTTTAAATTAAAAGCTACTATGAATTCTGTTACTGCTTTGTGTTTTAATGTTTCTTTATTCTGTGGATGTCCTCGCTTATTTTAGTATATTTTAAATAACCTGAGTCACAAACATTGAGCAGCGTGCAGGGATGACAAGTAGTCTTTTCATGCATTGGTGCTGCTTTGACAAGTTGTCTGGTCACTGCCCATATTCTGGAATTTTGAAATTGTTTACATTTTAAAACTTCTTTTAAGAAATAATAATAATAGCAGTAACAGTATTTTAAAACTGTTTTAGGAAGCGGTGTTCCAGATTGTTGTTGTTTTTAATAACGAAAGAATGAGATAGAACTAACAATATAAAACAATTATTTTTGTGAATAATAAATAGTTCACACTTCAGGTCCCATGTTAAATTGTGGGGCAATGTGTGGCCAAGGATTTGAGCCAGATGTTGAAAAACATTTATCTAAGGAGAGCCAGTTTGGTCTAATCCAGGGGTAGGCAACCTTGGCTCTTTTATGACTCGTGGACTTCAACTCCCAGAATTCCTGAGCCAGCTGGCTCAGGAATTCTGGGAGATGAAGTCCACGAGTCATAAAAGAGCCAAGATTGCCTACCCCTGGTCTAGTCAGTGGCTAAGGCACCAGGCTAGAAAGCAGGAGGCTGTGAGTTCAAGTCCCACCTTAGCCATGAAAGCCAGCTAGGTGACTTTGGGCCTCTCTTAGCCCAGCCTACCTCATAGGGTTGTTGTTGTGGGGAAAATAGGAAGAGGAAGGTGTGTTGGATCTGTTCACTGCCTTGAGTTATTCGTAAAAATAATAAAAGCAGGAAATAAATAAATAAGCAAACAAACAAATAAATGTTCCCTTCTAATCCAGCAATGATGCTGTGAAAATTGCTACAATGTTAGGTTCCAAATCAGCTAGACTTCAATCTCCTGCTTACAGATATTCTCCTGCAAAGTCTATACAGTTTTTGGGGGGGCGGGGAATCATACAGTTCTCTCTGTTCACCAGCTTTTCTAGAAGCAAAAATGTTGTTCCTATATAATACACTTAACATTTGTTTCTTTGTTTCACTATTAGAATCAGAGCCCTACGAATTATTTACAAGGACTGGACGGAAGACCCCTAATAGCTGCTCCTGTGTTCACCAAGGTGATCTGCTTGAATGAGCTCTTCTCATAATGGTTAACAAGTACCGTAGATGTGATGATCAAAGCCTCAGACAATCATTGCCCAGAAGCTCAGGGATTGTATCATCAGCACGAGTGTCCTAAAATTGCTTCTTTACATCAGTACATTTTTAAGAACACCTATCTGAAAATATTAGATTTTTCTGCTGTACAAATTAAGAAAGTTTTCCAGATGACAATCTCCAAGCTTTTAATAGAGACGTCAGCTAAGATAAAATTGATAGTAGATTCCAATTCATTTGGAGAGCACCAGATTAGGCAAAAATAATAGAATAGAATAGAATAGAATAGAATAGAATAGAATAGAATAGAATAGAATAGAGTAGAGTAGAGTAGAGTAGGGTAGGGTAGGGTAGGGTAGGGTAGGGTAGGGTAGGGTAGGGTAGGGTAGGGTAGAGTAGAATAGAATAGAATAGAATAGAATAGAGCTGGAAGGGACCTTGGAGATCTTCTAGTCCAGCCCCCTCCTCAAGCAGGAGAACCTACACCATCTCAGACAGGTGAATGTCTAGTCTCTTCTTAAAAATCTCCAGTGATGGAGCACCCACGATTTCTGGGGGTAAGCTGTTCCACTGGTTAATTGTCCTCACTGTCAGGAAGTTTCTCTTTAATTCCAGGTTGCTTCTAGCATATATTGTAGCTTAACACTGCTGTTCTATTATCTTAGAGAGAACTTTCCATTGACAGCTTTAACAGGTAAGTAGCACACTGCCAACCTTGGTTAACCTACGTAAAAAGATAAGCAGGGATTCCTCTGGTCAGTACTTGGGTGGGACCATGTTTGAAATCTTGTGCTGTAAATCAGAGCAGGAAACTGAGCAACCAGTCCCTATTCCTGCCAAAACCAATGGCAAATCGTGACAAAGAAAACTACAAAGATGTATCCATTCAGGGACCAGAAGCAAGTTCACTCAAAGCTGACTTCGCTTTATTCGCACCTATGTAATAATCTTAAAAATCTTAAAAATAATACAATGTCTGCTTTTGTTTTAGATGCTGCAAAATATATCGGCCTCTGAGGGTCAGCTGGTCGTGTTTGAATGTCGGGTGAAAGGAGCTCCTTCTCCAAAAGTGGAGTGGTACAGAGAAGGGACATTGATAGAAGATTCTCCAGACTTTAGAATATTACAAAAAAGTATGCTTTTTAGTTTTTATGGACTGCTGTAGCACTAAAGAGTTGTGTTGTTGTTGTTTTGCTGCTTTCTGAAAAGCAAATCTTTGTAAAAAAAAAAATCCTGTGAAAACAGCATTTTAAAACTACTGTTATCTCTCGTGCACCACAGAAATAGTTGTAGTAATTGGGACTGCTATTGTTCTCAAGCATGTCAGACGTACTCGTGTCAATATTGTCTCCATGTTACAGATCAAAGTGATAAAGCAGAAAGAAGAATGATTTGAAGCAGCCTCATATCTGGTTGCACCATATGAACAACTGAACTGCTTGCCTTGTATGCAAAAACTGATACAACTGACAGAGTTTAGTTTTGAAACTTAATTCACTTCTCTAAAGCTACAATCACTCCAGCATAGACTTTCATGGACAAGATTTTGTACAGAACAGCAAATAATGTTTTGGTGTACTGGTAATTTTTTGGATTGTTATCCTTTTGCCCACCTAGGGTAAAATATTTAAACTCTGCCCCTAAACCCTGAAGCAAGTTCAGGTTTGGGTTTATAGAGAAAAGAAATGAAATTAAAATATTGTGGATATAACTACCATATTGTATCGGAATAATCACGCTCACCAAGAGAAGTTTAAAATGTTTAAAAGCAGTTAAAAGTTTAAAAGCAATTAAAACACTGTTTAAAAATAAAGGCAACCAAGCTTTCATCGGGCTCTCCCGACATCATCAGGGTTGACAAGGCGGTTTTTAACTACCATATGTATATTCTGGCATATCATGTAAAGATAGTGAAACAGGAGTTCATAGTTAATGATCAGCAATTAACAACAGTGCATTTTAGTATATAATGCCTTGTTGTGCAGGATATCGCACTACCTTACAGTATACAACAAGGCATAATCCTAAACCACTACAAATTTATACAAACCAATGTTATTACTAATGACCAAAATTTAAAGAGCACAGTTTAAACCATGCAGGAGGTGAATTTTCTAAGGAGGCTTTTTTTTAAGTTTAAGGATGACACATTTGCTCCTAACCACAATATATTAGTAGCAACTACAGGGAAGGGTTAAAAAAAACAAAAACAAGATGGCAGCCTTGATGGTAGAATCAAAGTTCTTCCGATGTTTTATGTTCATTACAGATAAAAAACAGATTGAGCTTAGATAACACTGTTATGGTTACCACCTTAAACTTTTCACCACATCCTTTGGTCACTCCAAATTTTCATTCTTTGACAATATCTTTTTTTCTGCTGTATGCCTCTGATATTGCCTTCATTTTATCCCAACCTATGAGGAAGACAGGCTGAAGTTCTCTTCAACTTTACTGGTATCTCAATCCAATACAAAGGTGACTTCAAGAGGTATAAAATCTGGGCTATGTTGGCCGTCAATTTAAGGGAAGTCAGGCAATAACAGCAAGCCACTGACGACAATAAAGACAGGATAAAAATGTGCAACGGGGTAGAAAATTCACTGCAACTATCACTATCTCCTGTCTCAAGGAACAGCGAAAAGCACTTCAGCTCAGGAATGGGGAAAGGTCCATAGAACGTGTATTGATTCTGGCATCCTATTGCATTCAGGAAGGTCCTTAAATGCAGAAGATTCCCAGGCTGTGTTTGTACACAATTGGCATCAGTCAGCCCTGATTCCTAGACCAGGGGACTCAACCCTGAGTAGGACTAATCCATGCCAGATACTCTCTGACCAAAGTCTGTGCTCTTTCCTCTGACTTCTTTGAAGACCACAGCATTCTTATGGGGTAGATGGCTTGGAGTCTAGATTGTGCAGGAGGTCTCTGGACAGAGTCAGGAGCAATAGGACCTGATCCAGTTTTTCCACTGTGATTGGATCTGACTTTTTGACTCCTGCCCTTCCCCCCCTCCTCCTCCAGATGAGTCAGAGATTAAGAGCTGGACCAAAACTAACTGTATTACTCCAGTAGTTTAAAGATCCATCTATCTGGATTTAAAGAAGCTTAAGTGATAGAAATTACCCCAAATATATATATATTGTTTTTCATGCAAAACTTTGAAAGAACATGATATGTGTTAAAATAAATACGGAATTAAGTAATGTTTTTCTTTCTTTTTTATTAGAACCTCGCTCCATGGCTGAGCCGGGTAAGTATATTTATCCCAGTCCACTGCTTACTAAATTACTTCACTCTTACAGAAGTGTTTCTGTGACTAAAAACAAGCAAGCAATTTTTTTTAAAAAAAAAAATGTATTATTGCAGTTCCTGCTTCACACACACTGCGGTATTCTCGTCAATATGTCCCACACACGTAAAGCAAAGAGATGATATTGTTCAGGGAGGCTATATTGGAAAGGTTGTGTGATTCTGCTCCAACCGTATAAAAAGGGAGAGGCCTTCAATCACACAGTTCCAGTGGTCTCCTTGATTGCTTTGACGGTACCTGCAGACATCCCTGGACATGAGCAACTTCCCTAACATGAGGCTAAATTATTTATTAGTATATTGACATCTGGAAGAAGACTGCTACTCATGTTTGCCATTAGATGTAGGAAACAATGCCACTCTTCTTTTCTCTGTCTTAACGTTCTTGACTACAACAGATAAGCATTATGAGTTGTTAAGTATTCCATTCAACTTCATCTGAATACAAAATACAGAATAACAGGGTCGGAAGGGAGTTGGGAGGGAACCTGGAGCTCTTCTAGTCCAATCCAGAGTTACCCTATGGCAGGGGTAGGCAACCTTGACTCTTTTATGACTCGTGGACTTCAACTCCCAGAATTCCTGAGCCAGCATGGCTCAGCTTGGAAACCTCTCCCTTTCCCCTCAGCATGGCTGGCTCAGGAATTCTGGGAGTTGAAGTCCACGAGTCATAAAAGAGCCAAGGTTGCTTACCCCTGCCATAGGGTAAAATGGGTGGCCAATAAAATTGATAAATAAATAAATAAACCTCCTGCCCAAGTAGGAGACCCTATATCATTCCAGAAAAATGGTCGTCCAATCTCTTCTTAAAAACCTCCAGTGATGGAGCATCCACAACTTCAGGTTAATTGTTCTCACTGTCAGAAAACTTCTCCTTAGTTCTAGGTTGGATCTCCCTTTAATAAGTTTCCATCTGTTGCTTCTGGTCCTGCCCTCAGGTGCTTTGGAGAATAGATTGAGCCCCCCCCATGAAAAAAGCAAGAATACTACAAATACCATAACAACAGAATCATCTACATCGCTACTCTGAAAAAAATCCCACTGATTTTAACAGGACTTATTTCCAGGTCACACTAAATAAATTCTAGGTCAAGAATATATAATTATGCTTCCATTTATTAATGGGGCCCACTTAATTAAAAGGAGCCTATTCTCTATGAGGCAGAAATATCATTAGCACTGAAAGCTTGGAAAGATCGACTAACATTGACCCTGAAGATGTTCAAGAGGTGGAATTATGACTTCCATTCTCTACTAGATGGCCCTTATTTCAAAACTGGGACTTCTGCTCTTTTCCACCCTTGATGTGAATGAAAGAGGCCTTATTATGTCCCTTGCTTTCTTAGAAGTCAAATCTACACCAGATGATATCGGACTGTACTATATTTATCCAGCTAGCCAGTGGAAGCGTCTTGTCACGCCTCAACCTGTGCCAATTTTTTTCTCTTAACCCTCAGCGCTCCACCTTGCTCTCACTCATGAAATATGAGAGAATCGCTTCAGGCATTCCAGCTCTGAAACTGGAGAAGGCCACATCAGGCATTCTCCCTCCAAGGGGGAACCCTGACTGCGACTATTTTTTCAGTGACTTCAGGACCAAAACAGTGGATCTGAGTCAGTGCTAGATGAAAGGGCGCAAGGCCCTCATCCAGGGACCGTGGAGTAAGCAACACACAGGATTAGGGCACACTAAGTGTGCCCTATAAATGGCCTTGGAGGAACAAAAACACATTTGTCTATACCTTTCATGAGAGAGCTTTTTGTGGCCTGCTCCTCACTAGCTGATGGTCTATTCTATCCACTTGCCGGAATGCTGAGAGGACTCATCCTTAGGGTTACAATTTCTCTTTCCTTGTAAAGTGCATGGGTTGCATTTTCTCTAAGCAGCTGAGCAGATTTGGTTCCTGTGGAACTCAAGACCCTTTAGCGTATGTGTGTGGGGGGGTGTCAGTAAGGTGTATAATAATAATAATAAAGTTGGAAGGGATCTTGGAGGTCATCTAGTCCAACCCCCTGCTCAGGCAGGAAACCCTATACCATTTCAGACAAATGGCTGTCCAGTCTCTTCTTAAAAACTTCCAGTGTTGGAGCATTCACCACTTCTGGAGGCAGGTTGTTCCACTGGTTAATTGTTCTATCAGGAAGTTTCTCCTTAGTTCTAGGTTGCTTCTCTCCTTGATTAGTTTCCATCCGTTGTTTCTTGTCCTGCCTTCAGGCGCTTTGGAGAATAGCTTGACTCCCACTTCTTTGTGGCAGCCCCTGAGATATTGGAACACTGCTATCATGTCCCCCCTCGTCCTTCTCTTTATTAAACTAGAGATACCCAATTCCAGCAGCCTTTCCTTATATGCTTTAGCTTCCAGTCCCCTAATCATCTTTGTTGCTCTTCTCTGTACTCTTTCTAGAGTCTCAACATCGTTTTTACATCGTGGTGACCAAAACTGGATGCAATATTCCAAGTGTGGCCTTACCAAGGCATTGTAAAGTGGTATTAATACTTCACGTGATCTTGATTCTATCCCTCTGTTAATGCAGCACTGTGTTGGCCTTTTTGGCAGCTGCAGCACACTGCTGGCTCATATTTAAGTAATTGTCCATTAGGACTCCGAGGTCCCTCTCACAGTTACTACTATTGAGCAAGGTACCCCCTATACTATACCTGTACATTTGGGTTTTTTTGCCTAAATGTAGAATCTTACTTTTTTCACCATTGAAGAACCTTACTTTTTTCCACCATTGGTCAAAAAAGTCCATGGTGGCCACAATGGTCCAATTAAAACTCCTTCCATTTTTATGTGCATCATCAGGGCCACCATCTGAATTTTTTGGCCTCACCCCATGGCCACCCCTGTTTAGTGGGACACTCATGTAGTGGTCATCCTCTTTGGCAACTGTCAAAAACTCAGAGTGGTTCTTTTCTCTACAAAATTCTCACCAAGTTCTCTTGAGTCAAATCTGCCAAATGGACGGGGTTACAAAAATTCCAGTAACTAAATTATATTCAGTTTGGAGCCAATATCTCCCAATAAACATAGGAGAAGAACATACAGTAGATAAGGAAAAAAATTATTTTGTTTCT